TTTTTTTGGAGGCTTCTTGCCATGCATGAATAGGAAGCAATGACCTCTTATGGTCACACATATATATGTGATTAATCTTAAGAGGAAAAATGCTACTCTTTAACTCACTGCTTTCTGTTGTTTGAAACATAGTATGTATGAACTGTTCTTTTTGCAGGTGGTATGGTTAAAGGTTGAACTGTGCAAGTTGCTTGAGGAAAAAAGATCTGCTGAACTAAGGTAATATCATCTTAGAGCAGTCTCATTTTACTTCTGATTCCTACCAAAGTGATGTATATCCAACTTAAAATTTGTTTAGGCCATTCCCCTACCCTATATATCTACAGTTATGGCTTTGTAATTTCTAGTAGTGATTCTGAGTAAATGCAGAATAAATGGTCACTAAAAAGAGATTAGTATTCTGCTGATGTTTTCAAAAAATTTGTACTGTGACTACTGTCTTGAGAAAGAAGTGGAATCATTGGATGGAAAGGTCATGGTTTATGCTGCATTTCTATAGTTATTCAGTGCATTTATTTTTTACAGCAAATTTGGCTTTCCTGTCTACAACCCAAAGTAGAGTATTGCTTTAACTTTGACTGTATACTCTTCATCACTATATGATGAAACTCATAAATCAATCAAACTTACATTTTGTCTTTAGTAGCTTCATAAGAGCAGTATGTTCCCCCAGCAAAAGACTCTTTCTTTTCTTATTCCCTTACCATACCACATTGCCTGTAATCAAAGAAAATGAATTCATATTGGAAACAAACTCCCCACCTTCTACACCTTTCTGAAGTTGATGTATTTACTCCATAGTTGACAGATTTTTCAGGGCCAGATTTATTTTTTTCCTTATGTGTAAATTCAATTATTTCCCATTTTACGTATGTGTCCATCTTACCTTAGTTTAAAGATGGCATGAGTTTCTATGTGTTTGGTTTGCCAACACATACACACACAGATGTTTAAACTTCTCATTTATATGAGTGCAGAGCTGAGGAATTGGAAACAGCATTAATGGAGATGGTCAAGCAGGATAACCGTCGGCAATTGAGTGCAAGGGTAAATTAGAGAATCCTTCATCCTTGAATTGCCATCATCTTGCTGTTAAGGCAGGGTTTGGTAACTTATTTTCGGTAGTTATGTTTTTCATGGTGATATTGTGTTAATATTAGTTAATGGCCTTGAGTGAAGATCACAAGGTCAGTCAATGTGTAGTTGCATACAAAATAAGAATGGGTGAAATATAAGCCAATCTAACATGGAGAAATACGGACAGATAATCAAAAGTGGACCACTTGCCACTGAACTTTGATATCCTGAGTAGACCCTAAACCTTTGTTTGGTTGACGGAATTTGGAGGGTCGGAAAGTGAAGGAGTTCTGTATTGGGGGGTGGAAGTGGAAGAGGGAGATAAGTGTGGAACTCTAAAATCCTCCAAACTCCTTGTAACCGACATTCCAAGTAGGGAGATTTTGGAGGAGTTATTTTTTCCTAATTACTTTCACCATTTCTTTAATCAAATTTGTTCTACATTATTATTGGTATATATGTAATTATGTATATTGATATACTTCAAATCACAAAAAAAATATCCACGGTGAACCAAACTTTCACCTACATACCTTTTAGGGAGATTTACCTAAATAGTACCAAAACATGGCTTTTTTCCCAAAATAGGGCCAATTAGTTTAAACATTCTTAAATAGGACTTTTTATGTGTGATTGGACCAAAATACCCCCACTGCTGCCCCTCCACCCCCAGCCAGCCGCCTGCCGCCAGAGCTCCGGCCACCGCCACCGCCGGAAAATTCCAAAAAATGTTTGGCAGACTGCCAGATTCTGCCGCTGCCGCCACCCGCCGTTGCCGCCACCCGCCGCCTCCTCCTCCGCTGCCGCCGCCGGAGCACCGCCGGAAAATTCAAAAAAAAAATATCTGGCAGACTGCCAGATTCTGCTGTCGCCGCCTCCGCCACCGCCGGAGTTCTCCGCCGCCGCAATGGTGTTTATCAGAATTTATTATTTATTTATTGTCTACTTATTGTCTATTCATTGTCTATTTAATGTCTGTTATTTTCTTGCCGCCGCCGGAAACCGCCGCCACTGCCGCCGCTGCCACCGGAAATCGCCTCTTCCGCTGCCGCTGAGCTGCCGCCACCTCCAGACTGCCTTGGTTGTGCAAGGAAACTAGGGGGGGCAATTATTTAGATCAATTAATTAATTAAATAGAATTAGGGGTAAAAAAGGTAAGGTTAGTCCTATTTAGAGAAAAACATGCATGTGGTCCTATTTTGAGAAAAAGGTTGAGTTTTAGTCCTATATTGGACAATTTTCTCTACCTTTTATATGTTCCAGAAATACGACTCCCTACACACTACTTCATTGAACCAAACATAATATAGATTATTGTGTTAAACACCTTCATCCCCCATTTTCTCCCCCCAACTCTCCCCTCTTTTGAATTAAACAAGGGCTAAAGGCTTTATGGAACCTCTTGCTGATTTTTTTTTGCTGATATATATTATGCACTTGATTTAAGCTGGTGGTTTTACAAACTAAAACAAATTAACCATTGGACTGTTCAGGGTGCAAATGAACAGTCCCTTTTTATCATATGGCACTATTGGAACCTAAATACATTGCCTGTGGAATTGCTTGTGAAATCCGCTGTGGCATTTGTTTTGCTTTACTTTTTTAGAATATTTATGATCATACTGCAATAACTTTTCGTATGCCTTGGTTGCCTTTAATGTATAGTGTTTTAGTTGGTAATCTTATTTATGTGGTTAGGTGGAGCAATTAGAGGAAGATATTAGAGAACTGAGGCAGGCGCTCGCGGACAAACAAGAACAGGAGAATGCTATGCTTCAAGTGACGACACCATTTGAATTTGACCACATCTTTCTTTGTTGTTTATACTTTTTATGCGGATCTTAATAATTTTCCTTTGGGTGGTTAATAGGTGTTAATGCGGGTGGAACAAGAACAAAGGGTAACTGAAGATGCTCGAAGATTTGCTGAGCAAGAAGCAGCAGCTCAAAGAAGTGCCACACAAGTCCTTCAGGAAAAGTATGAAGAAGCTATGGCGTCCCTCTCAGAGATGGAGAAAAGGGTGGTCATGGCCGAATCCATGCTGGAGGCTACCTTGCAATACCAATCTGGTCAAACCAAAACCCAACCTTCCCCGCGGTACACATTCATATTAATCATTTTTTTGATTTGGAAGATGGAAAGATTTGCTCCAAATCAAATTGGACTAACCTTGCAGAACAAAATATGATTTGGCCTCAAATATTCAACATTACGCATATAAACAGTAATTTCATAGAAGGTGTTTGTGTGCTTTTGTGGTGGTTGATAGAGCTGGACAGCAAGATTCTTCGCAAATGCAATTCAATCAACATGAAGAGATACCTTCAAGAAAAATCAGCCTGCTATCTAGATGGCGAGACAGGAACAAGGTTAGTTATATTGTTGTTAACTTTACCCTAATGATAATAGTAATTATAACAAGAATGGGTTATATCATAAATCCATCCGTTGCCTCATTGGCTTTTGAAAAATCTAATTGAGCAGGGGAAGAGTAGCTTGGAAGAGGAGCCAGGTGGTGAGGTTAAGGCAGCAATGAATGAGATTGAAAGTCCAAGGGTCCCGCAGGAAGCGATGAATGGCCATCCAGTAGCAGAGCTAGCATAAGAAAAGCTGGGGCCTGGCCGTGTGTGTTCTGATGAGATCTGATCAAAATTGTCCATGTTTTCATCCCCCATGCCAGCTATAAATCAGTTTATATGTTTAATAGCCCTGAGAATAATTCTGCACAGTTGAAGGGATATATAATTTAATACAATGGTACCATACAGTGTGTATTATATATAGAGCTTAAGATGGACAGATGAGTAGATATACTTTTGGTTACCCAGTTGTATAAACCATTGATTTAATTGTAAGTTTGTTTTTGCGTTTCTAATGTATAATTCTTTATTGAGTAGACAGCCAGACAGGTGTGGAATGATGAAATAATAATGTTTGCCAAGTCTCATAACTTCAGCATCATTTGCCAACTTGAATTGGGTCAGCATTTGTCAAACGAGCAGCCTCACTGTTCTAGAGATGGACAATTGAGACAATTTCTTTTCAATGAACAAGAAAAAAGACAACCAAACAAAGGAATCCTGTTTTGTTAGGGTTGAGACTTGAGAGACCCATAAGGCCATAATTTAATATTCACAGTTGACTTTAATTAATCTATTTAGGAAACTATTGAAATGTTACGAAAGCACATATGACTCCCTTATATTATGGTACACATATAATATCCTGTCAGGAATTGCACTCCGTCCGCCTCCATTTGAGGTGCTTCCCGATAGAACTTTTTGATGAAATTTTGTGAAAATGTTCTTCAGAAAATACAAATGTCCATAAGCTTTCAGGTTAAAATTCAAATGAGAATTCAGTTAAATAAATTATTGAAAAACATTACGCTAAAATATATACTCCGTATAAAAAACAGTGTTTTTCATATTATCTTGCCATTTATTTACTACCCTTTACCAAATATAATACTCCTTATGTCACACAAAACTTTATTATCTTTTCTTATTTAACTGTCTCAAAAAACTTTATCATTTCTATTAAAGTAAGAAATATATAATTAAAATTATTTTTCTCTGCATAAATCTTTACCGTTTAATTTTTACGTTATTAGTCTATGCGCAAGTCAACGTTAACCAAGTTTTGTAGGAGAGAGAGTAAAGGGTACTTAATGATTTATTAATGCTTTAAATTAGCTATGAATTGGCTCAATCTACATCCAAATGGCTATTGTAATGTGTGTACAAAGTAATTGTGATGATACAATTTCAAAAAAAATTACACCACTATATCTACTATTATACACTACTACAACGACATCCAAACCTTAATCCCAAAAGAATACATTACTGCGAGAGAGAAAAAAGAGTACAACTGGAACCAGCCATACTCCGTCTCGATTCCTTTTATAATACAGAAAACAGCCCACAATCAGATCGATCCACCATCCACCCTTGCTATGGAGCAATATATGACCAACAATAACTCACAATAAAAATACAAATAATGTGTCCACAATGAATCTAGCATTCATCTAATAAACGGATATTTGAACAGAAAAGGTAGAAAGTAGGATTTTTTTTTTTGTTTTCTTTCTTGAGATGATAATAATAAAAAGAATTGCGAAGTTTACTGTTTACAAAATCTAAACACAGTATAATAAATTATGCACAGAAAAGTCATCCGGGGAAAACTAGAATTTCCTTCCTTCAATATGATATACTTCGTCGTCCAATATTAATCCTCCCCATTGCCAAGTTGCTCAAAAAACTGCTCAAACTAACTTTCAAAAGTTGCTATCATCGCTGCACCCTTCTTGCTCTTGGAGTGGAAGGATCCAAGGGCCGCCTTTGGGCTGTGTGGGCCTGAGGGTCATACTTCTGGGACGCAAGATAGTTGAGGGCTGTGACCACATCGGCTATGAGTGGACGCATGTTGGGCTGCTCATGGACACACATTGCAGCAACAGCAAGTGCTTGATACATACCCCTCACCGGGTACTCCCCCTGAAGCATGGGATCTGCCATTTGTGAGAACTTCCTTCTGTCTTTGAATAGTGGCCGAGCCTGTCTCACATTTTACCAAAAGAAAAACAGGTCAACAGAGGGCATTCGTGAGAACTTCCTCCGGAGACTCGAGAAAAGCAAAGAAAGAATATGGAAACAAAGGGCATTTTCTGAAGAGCTCTAGGACGCATTTGTAAAAAAGACTTTCAGTTCATACGAACAAGATCAATGTTCCAAACCAAGATTCGTTTATGAATTTATGTCAGTAGGAACAAAGCACAATAACAACATCCAAGCCTTAACCCCAAAAGACTTGGGGTCTGTGGGAACAAAAAGTACAAAAAATCAAATTCACAAAGATAACAATTTTTTTCATAGGCACAAAATCATACTAACAACATCTTGTCTGTGTGAACAAAACATCTTGTTGTACTCGAAACTTTTTCTTTTCTAAATTTAGCATATAGATAGGGGGGACTACAAAAAATCATCTTCACAGCAATGGTATTTTTTCACCTGGGCACAAAATCACAAACAAACTCTTGTCTGTGTGAACAAAAAACTTGTACAACTTGGTTGTATTCTAAACATTTTTCTTTTCTGAAGTGGCTACATATATAAGGTGTAGAGATTCCTTGGAATTCCCAACGATCTTGCTCCTATCTATGTCTCACTCTAGGAAGTGGATTCTCTCTTGCTAGGATTGCTAGGATTAGGATTGGGATAGTTAGGAATGGAGGCTCCTACTCCTATTTATACTACTCCACCTCCATAATGAGTGGTGGAGAATATTTCTCTAGAATGATCTACATGACTACCTATTCTAGAGAATTCCAAGGAATCTCTACACCTCTCCATTCTCTTCCATATGCTTCCATACTCTTCCATAAGCTTCCGGAAGGTTCCACACATCTCTAGAATATTCCAGAGGATTCCACATTATTCCGCAAGCTTCTAGAGAGTTTTAGACTTCTCTAGGATTCTCCGCAACGTTCTAGAAAATTCTATACTTCTCTAAAAAGCTCTAGAATTTTCTAGAACCTCTCCAATTAAGTAGGGATCCAAACAAATCTCCCCCTCCCAACTTAATTGGGGGGTTGTAGCAAACCTGCACCTTGACAACAATCTTCGAACTTCTTTGTCAGTATAACCTTGGTCATCATGTCTGACCAGTTCTCGTGTGTGAACCTTGTCAAGATGCAATTTCTTTTCTTCGAGGACTTCTCGGATCCAATGATACCTTGTATCAATGTGCTTCGTGCGGGAATGAAATGTTGAGTTCTTCGCCAAGTAAATTGCACTTTGATTGTCGCACTTCAACACGTACCTTTCTTGATCTATTCCCAGCTCGAGCAACACATTCTTCATCCACAGCATCTCCTTGCAAGCTTCAGTAGCTGCGATGTACTCTGCCTCTGTGGTGGATAATGCAACACACTTTTGCAGCTTTGATTGCCAGGAAACAGCTCCCCCTGCAAAAGTAGTTAGGTATCCCGATGTTGATTTCCTTGAATCAATATCACCGGTCAAGTCTGCATCTGTGTATCCTTCTAACACAGGTTTTCCTTTTCCAAAGCATAAACATCTTTTGGAAGTTCCACATAAATACCGGAGGATCCATTTGACCGCTACCCAATGTTCACTCCCAGGGTTGGCCAAGAAACGACTAACGACTCCAACTGCATAGGCGATATCTGGTCTTGTGCATATCATTGCATACATGAGACTGCCTACTACAGATGAGTATGAAATCTTCTTCATTTCCTCCTTTTCTTTCTCACTTGTGGGACTTTTCTTCGAACTCAACCTGAAGTGTCCAGCAAGTGGTGTGTTTACCGGCTTTGATTTGTTCATGTTGAACCGTTCCAACACTTTCTCAATGTACCTCTCTTGGGATAGCCACAACAGTCTCTTCGATCTATCACGAGTTATTCTCATCCCAAGGATTTGTTTAGTCGGTCCCAAATCTTTCATGGCGAAGCTCTTGCTTAGACCTTTCTTCAAAGCATCTATCTTTACGCGATCTTGTCCAACAATCAACATATCATCAACATAGAGTAGAAGTATGAGAAAGTCTCCACTTGCATACCTCTTTATGAAGACACAATGATCGCTCTTTGTCTTTGTAAAATCATGCTCTGCCATGAAGGACTCAAACTTCTTGTACCACTGTCTCGGTGCTTGTTTGAGGCCATATAGACTCTTCATGAGGCGACATACTAGGTTTTCCTTGCCCGGAACTTTGAACCCTTCGGGTTGCTCCATGTAGATCTCTTCCTCTAGGTCGCCGTGAAGGAACGCTGTCTTGACATCGAGTTGTTCAATCTCCAAATCTTGCGCCGCTGCTAGGCCAAGAACAACTCGGATGGATGACATCTTTACCACAGGAGAGAATATTTCCTCAAAGTCGATGCCTTTTTCTTGACCGAATCCTTTGACAACCAATCGAGCTTTGTAACGAGGCTTTGAGCTATTGTCTTCGGTCTTGATTCGATAAACCCATTTATTCTTCAAGGCTCTTCTCCCTTTTGGCAGCTCCACAAGTTCATAAGTGTGATTCTCATGCAAGGATTGCATCTCTTCTTGCATGGCTCTTCTCCACTCTTCCTTATGAACATCACAAATTGCTTCTTTATAGCTTTGTGGCTCCCCCTCATCCGTGAGCATCACGTACTCCTCGGTGTTGTACCGAGTGGATGGTCTTCTCTCCCTTGAGGATCGCCTCGGCTCTGGTGCTGGCAGAGAACTAGATTGAGGATCTTCCTGAGTTGGTTCATCATGAGTCTCCTGGTTTCTTTGCTCTAACACAGACTCATGGTCTTCAACATTATTGTCTTGATGTGGATCAGTATCCTCACATCGAACTTGCGTAGGTCCGGTGCTCCTGCTGCTTCTCAATCTTGGCTTCTCCGAGTTTTTAATGTCTTCAATTGTTTGGTCTTCAAAGAACACCACATCTCTGCTACGAACAACCTTCTTGTTGATTGGATCCCATAGCCGATAGCCGAATTCATCCTTGGGTGAGCGAAGGTATATGCACTCCTTCGTCTTTGTGTCGAGCTTAGCTCGCTCGTCTTTGGGGATGTGAACAAATGCTCTGCACCCGAACACCTTAAGATGATTGTATGAAGCCTTTTTGCCCGTCCATACTTCCTTTGGGATGACGCCGTTCAAAGGAACCGATGGTGTGAGGTTGACGATGTCAACTACGGCCATTATAGCTTCTCCTCAAAAGAATTTGGGTAACTTAGCCTGAGAGAGCACACAACGGACTCTTTCTTCAATAGTTCTATTCATTCTCTCAGCTAGCCCGTTCAATTGTGGTGTCTTGGGTGGAGTCTTCTCTAGCCTAATGTCATATTTCTTGCAATAGGCTTCAAAGGGACCTCTATACTCACCTCCATTGTCAGATCGTACACACTTGATCTTCCTTCCTGTCTCACGTTCTACAAGAGCGTGGAATTCCTTGAAAGCGTCAAGTACTTGATCCTTTGATTTTAACAGGTGCAACCATACCTTCCTTGAATGATCATCAATGAAGGTCACAAAGTACAACGCACCACCAATAGATCTCTCGAACATTGAGCACACATCGGTGTGTACAAGGTCGAGGATGTTCTTTCTCCTTGTGGGCAGAGAAGATCTTTGGAAAGCAACCCTTTGTTGTTTTCCAGCTAAACAGTGTGCACAAGGATCAAGTGACTTACCTTTCACGTCTGGGAGGAGTTGTTTCCGAGCAAGTATGTGAAGGCCCTTCTCACTGATGTGACCAAGTCGTTTATGCCATACTTCCATGTCATCAGTGGTTATATTTACCTCTCCTTTGCAGAGCTTAGCTTGCATCACATACAATGATCCTTCCTTCTTTCCTCTAGCCATGACTAGACTTCCTTTGGTGAGCTTCCATTTTCCTTCACCAAAGTAATTCATCAGACCAGCATCATCTAACTTTCCAGCGGAGATAAGATTGAGGCGCATGGCCGGGACATGCCTCACATCTTTGAGAACAAGCTTGCATCCAGTGCTAGTTGTCAGGACGATGTCTCCTATCCCAACGATCTTGCTCCTATCTTGGTTTCCCATTTGAACCGTACCGAAGACTACAAAATTAATGTCCCACATAGATAATGTTCCCCCCCTAAGGGGGGGGGGGGGGGCATAGGCACAAAACAACACTGTCAAATCTTCCTGTAACAAAAAATCTTGTTGTACAACTTGGTTGTACTAAAAACATTTTCCATTTCTGAAAGTGGCTGCATAGATAAGGTTGGACTACTAGAAAGTCTCATGTGGAAGGAGTTGTTTTATGTAGCCTTCCATGGCTCCCTTATTGCATGGTATCATCATGACTGTTCAATATTATTGGTCCCGTGGGGTCAACTCACTTTAAAAATGAACGGTGATGATTACATCATCTGGCTCCATATGGGAAGAAGACGAGGCTCTTTAAAATATAGACTTATGGAAGTTGAACTTCTGGGTTGTTTCTACTAAGGAATTGAACTTCTAATCTCCTGCAAGCTTTTACGTGGCATGCCCTATATGTAGTAACCTTCTTATGAAGAAATGAGATGAAAACAAACAAAAACTACCATGATTTTCTTCTTCTTTCAGGCTCCGTTTGTTTAGATGAAATTATTTTCCCAGTAATATGATTTTTAGTTTTACACATTTCGTTGGTGTATATAGAAAAACATTTCCCGAAATTTGTTTTCCTCTGTTTGCCACCAAAATATATTTCCTTGATTCTTTCCCAGAACTTGTTTGGTCTGCTTGGCTCCGTTTGTTTGCATGAATATATTTTTCCTGATTCTTTAGATTTTTGTGGGAAATAACTTCACTATTTGAAAACAAGTAGTTAATATTTTCCTAAAAAACTTTCTTTTGGTTTTCAGTTTTTGTGCGTCAAACATTATTATACATAGAACCATTTATTGTCCAAGAAAACATTTTCTCCAAAATGTTTTCCACAAGTTATTCTCCTCAAACAGAGCCTTGGGTGGAAGATTGTATGTGGCAATAATGAGTTGAGGTAGTTGTAACAAGACTAGTATTGCAAACTCAGCACAACACACACAAACTACAACTCTGATAATGATAGAAGTTCATTAGTTAGTTACCCATGCAACCAGATTCTGCTCTTCAGAAGCTTTTGAATTGTCAATTGCCTTTCTGCCAGTGATCATTTCCAGAAGAACAACACCGAAACTGTAAACATCTGATTTCAGTGTAAGCTGCCCGGTCATTGCATATTCAGGTGCGCAATATCCATATGTTCCCATCACTCTAGTTGACACGTGTGTGTTATCACCAACGGGGCCCAATTTGGCCAACCCAAAATCAGATAATTTGGGGTGATAGTCTTCACCAAGTAAAATATTTGAACATTTTAAATCTCGATATATCACAGGAGGATTTGCTTTGTCATGTAAATACTCCAGGCCCTTTGCAGCACCAGCAGCTATTTTCATTCTGGTGTTCCAGTCAAGTATCTTTTTGTCAGGTGAAAGCTCTGTTGGGTCATTTTAATAGTATGAGTAACACTAATTAGATGCATATATGATATTATCATGAGTCTGGAAAGAATCAAAGGTATGTTTGGATCACTGAAAATGTTAGGTTAAGGGGGAAAAGCCAAGGAAAGCTGTTTTTTAATATTTGGTTTTACTGTAGAAAATGCAGAGAAAATCATTTATGCTAATAATTTTCACAAATGTTTGCCTTCCACGGTATGAATATAATAGAACTAAATAACTAAATAGTGAGGGAACAAATATCTATAATAATTTATTGAGTTTGATCTTATCTTGTATTTCCCCCCAAATTTCTTCATTTCGATTTTCCTCCCAATATTAATTTTTTTTTTTGGATAAACTGTAAATATTCACAATATTAATTTCATTGTATATTCAGGCTCCCAAACGGTCTCAAAGGTTTTAAGAATTGGGAAAATATTTATTGTAAACCAAGATGGTCTGTTTGGAACCCAAAAAATGCTAGGGAAGAAAATAGGAAAGAAGTTAGAGGGGAAGTTTGGAAAATGAGGACTTAGACTAGAAACTCAGTTCACACTCAATAAAAAATATAGATATTGTTCACAAATCACACTCATTATATATATACATATATTTATAGATTATATGTGTGTGTGTGTATTCGAAAAGATGCATGATAAGTTATATGTTTATGTTTTATATAAAGATATATAAATGTGTGCAAAACTTGAAAAAGATCAGTGATAAGATATGTGTATTCTTAGATTGAATTTGAACAAATACCTAAAGTCGTTTTTTTGTAATATATGCCCAAGTCCACACGTTGAGCAACACTTAATGTGTCTGATTTAAGTTTCAAGAAAGAATTGCTAAATTCAAGAAGAGAAGAAATGTGATTTCAAAGTCTGGAACATCATTAAAATGAATGTATTTATCACCATGATTAGGGTTTATTTACAAAAGTATAACATCAAATACACATTAATTGCTTCTTAACAAGTGCCCATGGCCCATGGGCACAAATGAGATGAACTGAAACAAATCATTTGAACTGGAGCCTATCTATTATTTTCTCCAAAAATTTCTTTCTTCCAACTTTCCTTTAAATTTCTTTTCCCCATAATTTTACAGGTCCCATACGGACCACATATGCAATTTTTTCCTGGAATAGGATTACATAATATAGGTATATATGAAATGATTGAAATGTTAATTTGTACATACCATGGAGATGGTCCTCTAGTGACCCCAAAGGCATGTACTCATAAACCAAAAGTCTTTGATCTCCATCAGCACAATATCCAATCAAGTTGACTAAGTTTGGGTGGTGAAGTAGGCTTAGCATCAATACCTCAACCAGGAATTCCCGATTTCCTTGTAATCCATCTCGATCTAGTTGCTTAATAGCCACAATCTATCCAAAAAGTGATAGGTAGAGGTTGCACAACAAATTATGTCATCTTATGATATGTTTGTAGTACTAGGCAGCCAAATACATAATGCCTGTAAGAGAAGCTACCAAATACATCAAGAGATAGAATGGGTGTTTTTTTATCTCTTGCTGGAACTGCAACATGGAGATTCTATATTTCAAAGTTCGTTACACCTTACATGAATACTAATATGGGAACATTATTGTAGCTTCCTAAATCTCATATAGCCAAAAAAATAGACTCCACCAAGACAACTCCATTTCAATAAGGGTATGCTCAAATCCTCAAAAAAGCCATGAGGGGGCGGGGGTGCTCAGGAAGACAGGAAAGATGATATTTACACATGTTTGGTTTTACCATAGAAAATGTGAATGAGACTGGAATATAATTAATAATCTTGTATCTTTACAATTTTACATGTATGCGGATTGCATAGTCTCTATATAATAGACATAAAAAAAGTATCAACATATATCTAAAATATTCTTTTTAGCTCTAGCCTATCTTTCATTTTCTCCCACAATTTCTAACCTTTCAATTTTATTGTATGTTTTCCATCCTATATTTTTTCACTGGTATTTTCTGGGGTTCCATAGGAGGTTATGAACCCTAAAAGAGCATGCTAAGCCCAAAAGAATCCATCTTCTCTATTGTTCGTCCATCACTCCATTTATTTCTATAATTCTATTTAGAGTTCAAAATATAAGGATTGCAAACTAATGAATTATTATGTATATTCCTACATTCTTATCTTTCAAATGAAATTAGGAATCTGTTTGTCATCATCCTGAAACACCCAAAAAAGAATCATATATCATTATAACAATTAAAGGACTACATTCGTAAGTGGGCGGACACTAAATATTTAAAAATCACCATGTTTGAAAACTTATATGTTTGAAAATCTATGGGCATAAGTGCATAACATACCTGATTTGTGCTCTCTAATTGCCCTCTATATACCCTGCCAAAGCCCCCTTCACCTAAAAGACACTCAGCCCTAAAATTCTTGGTTGCAGAAGCTAACTCACGAAATGTGAATGTATGTGCTGCAATGTGACCCGGACCTCCTCCATGTTTGGATGCTTCCTTCTTTTCATCCGAAGATGAGTTTACCTTTTGTTTATCTGAAATTATAAAATATATACATAAAAGCTCAAAACCTATGCCAAGTAAAAAGGGCAATAAAAAGTAATGCATGTAAATTGTATGAGTAATTTTGGGAACAGATGAAATGAAAAAAGTGAAAACCATTTCACTATTGAATGCCTCATTAGTCAACTACACTTTTGAGACTCTTTGGCATTGTCTCAACAGTAACATTGAGAATTCTCAAATCTCAACCCAAGAAAATCTACTATCTTCTGACATTCTTGAGATTTCCAAAATGACAAAATTCCTAATACTATCTACAAATACAATACAGTACAAAAAACATATTCTACAAATCTACAATAAATCTATCCCTGAGAATGGTGTGGTCATTGTTAATCATGGTTAATCATTTTGAACTTCCAATCATGGAGAAGATTAAAAAACTTGTTCTGACGTTCATTAGCAAATTAGGCACAAAAGTAAGTATCCCACTCAATTAAATGCCTTTAAACTGAATTGATAAAAAAACAATATCTACAGCAAACATCTCACAAAAATGAGTTGAGAGTTGAGACCTACATAACTGTAAATCTTCACTGACATCACCTGCCAACTGTATGTGCAAAAAGGAAGAGCTAAAAATTCAAAATTTATGCCAGGTTATGAAATTCGGAGAAACCCCATTTGTATTTTAGAACAGAGAGGCACCTTATATACCAGTCCAGCTTGAATCAGATCATAAAACAATAAATTAATGTCAAGCAAACATGTACAAGTAGTGTTTAACCGGGAAAAAATTCCGAGAAGAGAAATTGTAGGGAATTATCAGGACCCAAAAGTGAAAAGATAAAGGAGGCGAATCTGTTCCAAAGAAAGAAATCAACTTTAATACGTCAAAATGTTCACATCAATCATCAAATGGTGTATCTTTCTCGTTAAATATGATGAAAACCTAATGTTGATGGGATCTGGTCAGTGGACTTCTTGATTTGCTGCTGCTTTGGTTTCTTCTTCGATGTTTTGAAACAGCCCATGACTGCCCTCTCTCTGAAAGCTTGCTAGGTCTCCCTTGCGTTGATGAAGAGAGAAAAAGAAGAGAAAATCTCAATTTGCAAAAGTGCTCCCCAAGTATGTCAGTCAGTATGTGCCTCATTTGTTCACTTTTGCATTTATGGTGAATGATGAATTATACGCAGTAATAATTTGAAACAAAAAAAAAATTGTAGCTCGGTTTTTAATATTATTTGAAATACGGAGTTTTTGAAATTGTGGTAGTCTCCGTAGGGTTGTCGGAGCATTTTGACTCTAGATGTTCAGATGCTTAGGAATTAGACTTTTTTTTGTTTAGCAGGAATTAGACTCTTGAAAAATCGTTTTAAATTAGATTACTTTTTTTGTTTTTTATTCTTTGAATATGATTAAATTTTTGCCAAAGTTTGGCGGTAGTAGGCTTTAAAACATGACATTTTTTTTCAAACTTGGCAGATTACTCTTATTCAGGAAATAAAAAATATGATACTCCTATTTTGGAATTTCAAAACGTTTTTACTCGTATGTCAAAACGTTAAAATAGCCGGTCTAACCAAACTATTATACATGTGTTTGTATTATACCGTTGCATTCCAAGGCATCAAATGAATAATCTAAAAACCCTATATTCCTCCGGTCCACTCGTTTTCACCTTCGCTCTTCATCCTATATTTTTCTCGTCTGCTCTCCCTTCTCTCTGCTCTCCCTGCTATCCTGCAGGCTTTTTCTTTTATTTGATATCGGTCCATCTTCATTATAGCAAGAGAAGAAGAAGAAAATAAAATAGAGCAAAAAGAAGAAACTGAAGGGATAGTAGTGAGAGCAAACGAGAGAGAAGGAGAGCAACACGGGCGGAGCTAGAGGGGGGGGGGCAAACTAGGCCCTAGCTCACCCCAAATTATGTGTAATTTTTTTTCAAAAATATTATTTGTACTACTTCAGTCCGGCCTAGTGTTCTGGCTCCGCCCTTGGAGAGCAGACGAGAGAAATATAAGATGAAACGCGGGGAGAAGGGAGAGAAACGTGAGAAATATAAGATGAAGAGCGAAGGTGGAAACGAGAGGACTGAAAGAAATTAGGGCTCGTTTGGTTCAAGGAATGTAAGATTAAAATGAGAATGTCAGATTGCTGGGTATGTTAGATCGATGTGAATGTATTCAATCTATATCTCCTTTGTGTTTGGTTAAGATTAAGGGAATGTGACATTAATTTGTTTGGCTGAATAATATCTTATATTGCAGACTTGATGAATTACTTCAATGTCCTTCAAATATTTTCTCTTAACACAATAAATTTATTACAGCCTACATGCGAAGTAATTTATATTATAGAATAAAAATATCTCAATAATAAATAAAATAAAATAAAAATTAATTGAATATTTCTTAAAGAAAAGTATGTTTATTTGCTCAAATACATAGTTTAGTGAACATTAGTAAGCATTATTGTTTAAGTAAATCCATAATGAAACACATCAATAAATAAAGATGAATATTCCATTACATGAACATTTGTAGCAAACAAAGCAAGTGAAAAGAGGTTCTCGTATGATACTTCCTCTTGATTAAATGAGGGGATATTTTGGAAGAATTGTTATGAACAACCTGGCATCCAACATAACCTAAGAGCTTCATGGGTTTAAGATTACGGGCCATGAGATATTGAGATTACATTCCTCACTTTTTGGGAATGCAATATTCTCCAAAAAAATAAACCCGCGAACCAAACGTTGGTACCTCAGATCCCGGACATAAGATTTTGACCTACATACAAGATTACCTCCAACCAAACGCACCTTTAGAGTTTATAGATTAATTATTTGATTACTTAGACTGCAACGGTGTATTACAAACTGATAGTTTGGCTTGGTCAGCTATTTTGACGTTTTAACAGAACAAATGTACCTAATCGACTTTAAAAGTGCAAATTCATGTACTTTGTAGTTTCAAGTGTAAGATGAAGGACTACTTACTTCAGTTGAAACAACTTCATGTACCTGATAGAGTATATATCTAGAGAGAAGTGAGAGCTAGAGAGAGAAGTGCAAGTAAATGCTTCAATAGAATGATTTTGTAACCCCTACAACTACCTCCAGAGGAAGTATTTATAGGAAAAATACGGGCTGGGCTCCCAAGCCTTGGGTTTGGGAGGCCCATTTACAACCGGACCGCTATTGGGCCGAATACAAAGTAAATGATGGGATATATAAATGAATAAGTGTAAAATATAGTTCTGCGAGAATTCCGTGGCTGACGAGGGTCTGGCCGACGAGGGCACGGCCGACGGGGACACCCTAGTTCCCTGGCTTCAGGATCATATTCCGAGTCGGTCCCTCTTTGGCCGACGAGGGGTCCTTTGGCCGACGAGGGCATCACTTGGTGGCTTGTACTTTCTGTTCTTCTGAGTATGTGGGTCCTGGGGCCTAGACCCATATACTCCATCAGGAGTCCCCCACTCTCTAAGATGAGATGTAGACGAAGTGAAGGAGAGTAGATTTCTATGCTTGATGCTCTTGGTCGATGCGGGACCACGTTGGCCGTTCTCTGTCGTGGCGTTTGGTGGCCCTGTTCTGAGTTTGGCCGTTACCTGCCCCTTGATGCGGACGGGGAAGGCTATTGTTCCTTTGGTGCGCTTTGTTTGTGGATGATGAGTGTTCTGGCATGAGTGGCCGATGAAGGTAGTGTCTATCCTTGGTCGTTGGTGGTTGAACTCTTCCTTTTGGGCTGATGAGGCCGTTGGGGTTGCGTCTTGTTTTGAGGACGTCGGGCGCCCATTGTTTTGGGTGGCCGGTGAGGGTGTTGTGCACTCCTTTTGGCCGGTGAGGGTGTTGTGCAATCTTTTTGGCCGTTGTTGATGACACCATGTGCCTTTGGGCGACAAGGCGCCATATTGCCCAAGGTTTTGGGGACGATAACATTGTCTGGCCGGAGAGGAAGTTGTGAGGACCTTGAAGCCGTTGTGGTACATGGACGATGGTGATTCAGGTACGTTGGCCTCCTGTTCTTTGATTCCTGGATGAGAGTGGTGTGTGGTCTCAAGGCCGATAAGTGTCCTGTGATCTCAAGCTTTGCTGCGGCCGAAGGTGCACCACGATGTTATGGACATTGTGGTGCATGTCTGATTTTGTAGTTATAGACTTAGTATATTTTTGGATTTCTTTGATTTTGTCCTGATTTGCAAAGGCCGGTGTAGTCCCCCAGTCCCCCACTGCTTCAGGCCGAAGAGTGAGTGAGGGGTGAAGGAGTAGCTTGAAACCTAGGCCGAAGCGGGATCCTCATACTGCCCTTGGATCCAACCCTTTGGCGATTTCCTGACCAAGGTAACCCTGTGGGAGAACCCTTGGACGCAGGTCGCTTTCAAAGGGTTATCATCAAGGGTTTAGTGCGAGGGCCTCATGGCCGTTGGGTTCCTTTCCCTTGGGGTATTGTGGTCGTTGTAAAGCCTTCCTTTGCGTAATATGCGTGGCTGCCTAGATGGCCGATACGGGTGCTAGTTGGGTAGTCGTGGCCTGTATTGGCCGTTGAATGCCGTGGCCGTTGTGGGTGTTATTTTTCCCTTCCTCGTTCCGTAGAGCCTGCTTTGCTGGTGGGCTATTGATCTGTGGATTGGGCCTGGCCCATTAACGACGTGGTAGTATCCCATTGGTGGCCGTTGGCGTGGCCACTAGGAGGGTGCCACGTGTAGTGACCGTTGGGGGAGGGGCTCTATAAATACCCCTCCCTTTCCGACGAAAGCTCTCATTTGCAATCTGAGCTACCGAAGTGCTGGCCAAATTTCTAGAGAGATAAACTCAAAGCAAACGTTCTTCGCGTTCTTCAAGGCTTCAAGGTTAGTTTCATCGAAATTCTTCTGTACCTTGCCTATTTTGCTTCATAGGCCATTGATCTAGTGTTAGGCGTTTGAACACCTTTAGATCTCGAAGTAGGTTTCCTTAGGTTCGAAATAATGTTTAAGATGAAGGACTTGAACGAAGAGTACTACCCCTACGACGATGAGCCTTCCGCCAAGTCCCTTGACTATGAAGTGGTCGAAGAGTTATGTGAAGAGCTTGAAAACCTGAGCTCGTTCAAATCTAGGGAGCAGGACGATGAGGACGGTGAGGACGAGGAGTCTGCCTCATCGTCTGGAGGTGGGGACGTAGGGGTCTCCCGAACTGCGGACGGGGCGTCCACGTCGGCTGCCATCCCATGCCCGAAGCCGGTGTCTGCCATCAAGGGTGTCACAGCGCCGAAAAGGGTGAGGAGGCCGAAGAGAGGACCAGCCTTTTCTTACCTGGATCTTGCCAATATCTTCATCATCAGGCGGCAGAGCAATGCGGGTGAATACCTGGTCGCACAGATATATGTGGGGCCGTTTGGTAGGGTTAGGGCCCCCAGGCCGACAGACCATGTTCTCAATCCACCCCCGGGGTACTTTGGAGTGTACCCGATGAGTTTCGCCAAAGGACTTCGGTTCCCGTTGCACCCCATCATCATCGAGTACCTATACATGGTGGGGCTTCCTCCGGCCTTGTTGACGCCGAACAGCTACTCGCTCATCATCGGATTCCTCTTACGGTGTGCTGAGTTTGATTTCCGGCCGACGACGTCGCTGTTTATGAACCTCTATCAGATAGGCCGTGGAAGTCATCAGAACTGTGCCTCCTATGCCACTCTCCAACAACTCCCAAAGAAAAGAAGCTTCACAGACCTGTCGACGTCCATCCATGGTTGGAAGGGTAAGTTTGTGTTCGTGTCGTTGGGTGAAGGGGGCGTAGAGTTTCCCTCTGTCGGCCACAGTGGGTGGTTCAATCTGCATGACACGCCGAGGAGCTCCATCCTGGACGCTCAGGTTGAGGCTTTCCTGAAGGGAGGGCCGAGGAGTGTGAAGACGTACATCACAGAGTACAAGATGGCCGCCCTCGGCTTCGTGAGGTATTTTGTCTATGGTGATAAGGACGACGATGTAGAGTTGTGGCCGAAGATGACCACAACTTTCGAGGAGGCTGATGGTCCCAATCTGGGGGTGCCAGCTGAGGACGATGGTAATACCTTTTTGATGCACTCCTTCTCATCGTAGTTTTATATTTTTTGTTTTGTTGACCCTTAGTATTTTTTCTGGTGCAGGTTTTGTCATGGATCACATGTCCTTCATGAAGAGGGCGCAACTCAAGGCGGCCGAAGAGTTGAAGGCCCAACAGCCTGCCACTGCCCCTGCGGCCAAACCCCCTGTCCAGCCGAAAAAGAAACGGCAGGCCGACGAGGGCCAAAAGAAGCTGACCGAGGCGGGCCTGAAGCCCACTAAGAAGCCGAAGAGGGCTTCTCCTTCTGGTGATGCCGAGACGTCGGCTGTTCCTTCTGGGGACGGAGGGGGTTCCAACGCCGATGCTCTGGTGGATCTCACTTCGGGCCCTCCGTCCACTACTCTATCCACCATTCCTCCCGCTGTTGTGGCCCCCCGGAAGAAAGGTTCCGACCGAGAGCTGGTCAGAGGGACCTACAAGCTCGAGGTTGAATACCCCGTTAAGGGGGGGCTATTCAACGAGATCGTTGACGACCACGAGGTGATCTCCCAGGCCATCCCCGACGAGGACCCAGCTTACCTGAAGAAGCTCGGCAACGTCAAGATGTACGATGGTGGGATGGACCACATCATCCAAGTAAGTTTTTCCTGTCTGCTTCGTCTCTTTCCTCTTTTCCTTTGCCATGTATCATCGTCGTCTAACCCTTGTTCTTCTGCAGGGCGCCTTTATATTGATGGAAAGCAACAGAAGGCAACAAAGGGAGATTGCTCATTTGAAGCAAATTGAGGAGAAGGTGGCTTCGGCCGATGAGGCCCTGGGCAGCTTGGAGAGGCTGCAGCTCGAGGTTGAAAGCCTGAAGAAAAAGGCTGATGAAGCTGATCTGCTGGCCGCCGAGAAGGATGTGGCCCTTCAGCGCTTGGCCGATGTGGAGTGGGCTCGTGATGAGGCCCTTTGTCGTGCTGAGGAGGTCGAGAAGGGTAAGGCCGATGCAGAGCTGGCCCTGAGTGTTGCCGAAGAGAAAGCTGTCGAGGCTGCTGTGCAGAAGTTCCTCGAGGTTGGCTGGAACGACGAGGATCGGCTCCCCTGGCGCTTCGACGTCGTGGCGGCGAGGCTCGTCGACTGGGTGAATAAGTCCCCTGACGGCCAGGCGTACTGGGAGAAGGAGATGAAGGTCTTCTACGGCCTTGGCCAGTACCGGATGCAGCGGCTGCTCTATTGGAGGCTCCAACGTCGTTTCTTGGATTTGGGGGTTGCCAAGGAGTGGGCCGTCGGCCTTGAGCTGCCTTCGATGATGAGGCATCCTGAAGCGGAGTTGGAGCTCCCTGCGGCGGAACGGCAACTCCCTATTGAGAGCTCTCAAGCCAGCGATGATTGGGCCTATGAGCCGAGCATGTTCGAAGACACCACCACGTCTGGTGCTGCTGCCGATGCGGCCACTGCCCAGGCCGAAGAGAAAGGTGCTGCTGCAGGGGACTCAGAAGCCCCGCCGGAGCCATGATTCATTCTATTACTGCTTTTGACTTTTATTATGTAACGGCCAAGAAGCCCTCATTGTACCCCATTGTTGTGAATGAAAATACACCTTTCTCGGCTTTCATGTTTTACTAAATTGCCTTGTGTTTTATTTCTGTTTGTATGATGTCCAATTGTGTTGGGAGTTGGGTCATCTTCGGCCTCGATTGCCTTCTCGTTGTGGCCAAAGCGGGCAACTTAAGTGTGAGTGCTTGCTTCGCCTCAATGTCAAAATACTTAGAAAATTTTTGGAAAATTTTCTAAGTGTCAGCCATAAGTGTTTGAAAATTTTCTTCGGAAAATTTTCCAAGTGTTTGAAACCCACTTAGGCGACTTTAATATGTTGTTCGCTTCATCTTGGGGACGTCTCTTACCTTTTTCTTTTGAAATTTTTCTAAGTTCAACTTGAGCAGCCGCCTGAGTTTTAGTGCCTTCAACGGTCAGCGAGAACGTTATGGCCGGTAAGGGTTGCCACCCGTGTGTTCAACTGTTGTATTTTTTCCAGTGACCTCATCGGCCTGGGTTGCACATCGTGGTGTTTTCTTGGCCGATGCGGGCGCTGCTGAGTTGGGTCATCCTTGCCGAGGGCGTCGTCGGCTGAGACCAACCGGAGAAGATAATGTATTTGGCAGTGTTGTCGGCCTGCATGTTTGCCCTTTATCGTTTCACACTTAAAAAAAAAATCTAAGTATCGAGATTTGGTAGCTGATTCCGCTTGGGGTTGCCAACGGCCCTGTATTGTTTGGTGGCCGATGAAAGTAACATTTCTTTTCGTGGCCGTAGAGGACGACCAACCTTGTTTCACCCAACCAAATCGGTTGGGATTTTGTAGATGCGCGCCTCGGTCGTGGCACCTATTCGTAGTGTAGCCTTCGTATCGGACTGATATGTACTTAGTATTTTTGTGGGGATTTCATTTTCTTGTTGCTCGAGGCCGGCAAGTGTGCACGGTCCGTCGGCTTCCCTCTTTTTTTGTTCCCTATTTTGGGGAGTGTCCTTCTTTCAGGCTTCGGCCGAAGGGGTCGATAGTCCTTTGGCCGGTTTGGACTTCGTTTATAACGTCCATGGTCTCAGGGGGGTCTTGTCGCTTATTTATGATGCGGACTAGACTTTTGGTTGGTTTCCAACGACTGTCGTTGCCCAACCCTGAGTTTGGGGATTTTGTCACCTCGGCCATGATTTCAGGCCTGCCGTCCTACGATCAGGCGCGTGGACGACGCGGTGAACTTCCCATTTCAAGACGCGGTCCGTTTGCGGGCCCATCGCCCTGGGGACATCGTCGGCCCTGCCTGGGCATTTCGCTCTGAGGGGCCGGTACGACGTGCTATTTCAGCTGGGCCTAAGCCTTTCGCTGATGCAAAATACAATGGAGCATACCTGAGCCTTTCACTCTAAGGCTGCAGATACGAGGCGCCACATCGGCCATGCCTGAGCCTTTCGCTCTAAGGTGGCCGATGAGGGCGCCCGTTAATGTTTTTACCCAAATTCCGAGAAATCAAAGGAAACATGATTTTTATTCATAAGTGGCTCAAGGCCGAGGGTGGTGTTCAATCAATAACCCATCAAGGGGTGAGGGCTTCGCCGGCTGCACCTCCTTCGGATTATTGATAAAACTTCACAAGATGGTGTACATTCCACGTTCGTGGTACATTGGTCCCGTTTGGGCGTTTAAGCTTGTAGGTGCCGGGTTTCACCACGGCACTGACGATGTAGGGACCTTCATATTTCAGGGCTAGCTTACCCTCTTCCGTCAGCTGACTTGCTTCTCTTCGGCGGAGGACGTAGTCCCCCACTTGGAATTCCCGGGAACGTACCTTGGCGTCATAGTACGATTTCACTTGACGCCGGTAATTCTCCGCCCGGATGAATGCCTGTTCACGTCTTTCCTCGACTAGGTGGAGGTCGATTTTCATGTTTTCCTCGTTGACCTCAGGGTCATACTGCTCCACCCGTCGGCTGGGAATGGCGACTTCCGTGGGTGCCTTTGCTTCAAAGCCATAGCACAGGGCAAAAGGTGTCTCACCTGTTGCCCTCCTTGGCGTAGTACGATAGCACCACAAGATGTTGGGGAGCTCGTCGACCCAACTTCCTCCTGCGTCCTGTAGGTTCTTCTTCAGCCCCTCCATTATAGTTCTGTTGGCGTTCTCAACCTGTCCGTTGCCTTGAGGGTAGGCAACGGAGGAGAAACTGTGCTTTATTCCCCATTCTCGAAGGAGCTCCTGAAAGGGAGCCGCTTCGAACTGGGTGCCGTTGTCGGATATGATCTCTTGGGGGACGCCAAAGCGGGTGAGAATGTTCTTGTGGACGAACTTCTGGCACCTAGCCCCCATGATGCTGGCCAAAGGTTCCGCTTTGACCCACTTGGTGAAGTAGTCGACTGCGACGATGATGTAGCGGTTGTTGCCAGCAGCTCTGGGTAGTGGGCCGACCAGGTCAATCCCCCACCTTGAAAATGGAATGGCAGTGCTGACGGGGGCGTAGTTGACGGCTGGCCGACCAGGGGCCTTCTGGAGCACCTGGCATGTGGTACACTTCCTGGCAAGATCTGCGCAATCCCGCACCATCGTCGGCCAGAAATAGCCCTGGATGACGAGACACCGGGACATAATGAAAGGGCCCTGGTGTGAGGAGAAAACACCGCAGTGGACTTCCTCCATAGCCACTTCGGCCTCGTCCTGGTGTAGGCATCGGAGGACAGTACCATTGTAGGATCGTTTGTAGAGCTTGCCGTCTTCAATAGTGTAGCTTGGGGCCCTGAGCTTGGCAAGCTTGGGCCTCTCCTCGTCTTGGGGTAGCTCCCCCGTGGTGATGAAGGTGGTGATGTCGGAAATCTAGTCCTCTGGCTGCTGTTGGATGCACAAGATGGGGCTGGCATGGATGCTGGACATGCTCAGCTCCTCGATCTTGGCTAACTTGGAGATGTGCTCCGGAGTATCCGAGCTGAGCTTGGAGAGGATGTCGGCCTCGGCGTTCTCGGCCCTTGGGATCTGTGTGATCTCGTAGATTTCGAACGCCTTCTGCAACTCCTCTGCTGCCTGTTTGTATTGCTTCATCCGGCCTTCTTTTGCTTTGTACATGCCCTCAACCTGGCCCACTACCAGCTTGGAGTCGCACCAGATTCTGATGTGCTTGGCTCTGAGGTCAGCGGCAAGTCTGAGGCCGCTGAGGAGGGCCTCATACTCGGCTTCATTGTTAGATACCCTGAAGTTGAAGCGGATGGCGTAGTAAGCTCTGAATCCTTCAGGGGAGATGAGGACGACGCCGCCCCCGCATGATTTCGCGGCCGACGATCCGTCGGTGAAGAGGATCCACGTGTCATCTGGCTCTGGCCCAGGGGTGGTAGCGGTCGTCTCCCTTGCTGTGCATTCGGTGACGAAGTCGGCCAAGGCTTGCCCTTTGATAGATGGATTAGGCTTGATCTCAATTTGGAATTGGCTGAGGAAGATCACCTATTTCACCATCCTTGAGGAGCTAGTGGGGCTCCTACCCATCCAGTGCTTCATCGATTTCGGATATGGCGCGCTCTATCAAATCTTATGGCGCGGTAGGTCGTGATTTGACGTTTCACTCTTCCTTTTTATTAGTATTGTCACTACAATCCTCAATAATTCCATGTTTCCTGCACGGGCTGGTGGACATAGCCATCACGCGTCAAACAATAGGTCACCGTCGCGAGGAGCTCACGCATCAGGTAGACGAGGCTCATCGTCACTCCATTGCCATTCAGCGTCGGGCGGACGAAGCAGTGGCTGCTCTGTCCAAGCTCCAGTCAAAATATGACTTTCTACAATCAAAGTATGATTGATTAGAAGCATCGTTCACGGATGCGGGGCGTCAGGCAGTTGCGACTTTCCAAACTTCCCCGGAATTTTCAGAGATCATCACTTCGAGGCTGGAGGCTCACTGCCCAGAGCAGGTCCAAGCATGGTTGAAAACCGAGGAGGGTCAGCTTTGGCGGGATAAGTGAATTCTCATGTCCTTCAGGTGAGGCCGATACGACATGCAGACCACGTTGTACAATAGGCTAGCAGAGTTTTATCCCGACTTCGATCCTGAGAAATTTGGTTTGCCCGAAATCATGCCAGATCCTGACGGGGCTAACGAGCAAGCGAATGATTTGTCCCTTTTGCACTTGGATATTCCAGATGACCTCGAGGGCTCGACACATGCCTTTGATTTTGTGACCGTCCTGGATAGTGTTCCCGATAACCTGCATGATCCCTAAATAGTAGATTGTAGCTCCTTCTCCTTGTTGTTCTTCATTCATTTGCTTATTTATTTACATTCCGCACTTCCGTTTGGAATTTACAAATATTTAGCCCGATTGGCGGGCCGTTTACAGGTTGTTCTGTCACGTAATCTCATATTTGCACTTTCGTTCATATTTCGTGCTCATGCAATTACCATCTGGGAAATTAATCGGGGATCTAGCTCCCCGCCTAAACCATGAGGGGCGGAAGGCGAGCAGGACCAACCTTGGCCGCGCCCTGCTTGGAAAAAACGGGGCTGACCCGCACACCGTCGGTTAAGGACCAACTGGCGAGCAAGCCGCTTGGCGAGTGGTCAGACTACAGATGTACGGGAAGGGCTCGGAGCACGACTCCCCGCACACCTTCAGCCCTTAGGCCAGTCTTACACCCTGACCTGTGTAGTTAATTTCTTACTTGGGGGAAATTCAACCATCCCTTTCTGAAAATCAAACTAAAGCCAGCCAAACGTAAGGGCAAGCCCCTATATGGTCAGACTAGAACGGGCCCGCTCCGTTGACCGTATCGAACAAGTATGCGGGATGCTAGGCCTAGCAACGTTAGACAACGGATGTACGAGAGGGGCGCGAAGCACGACCTCTCGTATACCTTCGGCTCAGAAACCGGTCATATCATTGCCGCATCATCGACTAGGTCAAACGAGTGTACGAGCTGTTTAGACAGCAATGCCAGACAACGTATGCACGAGAGGGGCTCGGAGCACACTTCTCGCACACCTTTTCGACCTGGAGGCCGGTCTTGCGGTCGCCCTGACCGAGCGGCTAATTC